TGGACAGTGGTGATGTAAAAAAGAAAAAAGAGAGAGAGAGACTTCTGGAATGAAGAAATGAGCTGTTTCTTGCTCTGGGTGTGTTCCCTACGTGTGTTCAAATGCATGGGTTGCATTGTATACTTGGGTGTTGGGTCCTGTATGTGTATATCTTAGTTCAATTTAAAATGTTTTTTAGTTTTTGAAAAATATATAAAGTTCTAATCATGGCAAAATACACACTACATAAAATTTACCATATTAACCATTTTTAAGTCAGTTGTATTAAGTACATTCGAATTGCTGTGCAGCGTGGCTACCATCCATCCCCAGAACTTTGTCATCTTCCCTAACTGTGCAACTCCCGGTTTTAACCTCCCCATCATGCTACCTTCTGTCTCCATGATTCTGTCTATTCTAGGTAGACGAAATAAGTGGAATCATCCAGTGTTTGTCCTTCTGTGGCTGGCTTATTCACTTAGCGTAATGTCCTCAAGTTTCATCCATGTTGTAGCCTGTGACAGGATTTCCTTCCTTTTTAGGGCTGAATAATATTCCACTGTATGTATAGAACTGTTTTGTTTTAAAAATAAAGTTAAAAAGTACAACTGTGTTGGGGCGCCTGGGTGGCTCAGTTGGTTAAGCGACTGCCTTCGGCTCAGGTCATGATCCTGGAGTCCCGGGATCGAGTCCCGCATCGGGCTCCCTGCTCGGCAGGGAGTCTGCTTCTCCCTCTGACCCTCCTTCCTCTCATGCTCTCTGTCTCTCATTCTCTCTCTCAAATAAATAAATAAAATCTTAAAAAAAAAAAAAAAAGTACAACTGTGTCAGTCCCAGAAGATTTTGGCCAGGGTTACGTTCATGGGTTTTCACTGAGGCTCTACTGAGTGCCACCACGGGTCAGGCACTAGGCGAGGTGTGTTCTGTCCGTTCTCACTTGTTCCTCGCAAACTTACTTCGTTTTTCCGCAGCGAAAACCCAGCTACAAAGTCAGAGGTTAACTAACTTCGCTGAGATCACGTGGCTGCAAAGGCGCGGTGCAGAGTTCTGACCCTTGTCTGTGACCCTGGAGGCGGCCGGCCGGAGGCGTGGGACAGTGCACCCTACAGGAAGCTTGTGTGTCCCCAGCGAGAGGATGCCTGCTAAGGGACACGTCCCTCACAAAGCATCACGGAAGCCGCACGGCCCCGGAGCGCCGACAGGCGATCGGCCTGGCTTCCGCTGCGGCGCAGGAGCCCGCCCGGGGTGTGCGCGCCGGGGCTGGCCGCGCTGGGCCTGCAAAGTCGCGCTCCTGCCTCCGCGGCCTCCAGCCGCCGGGCGCGGGGCCGGTCGTGCCGCGGCGGCCGCTCCGCACTGCGCGTCTGCGGAAGGCCGCCCGGCTCCGGCCTGGGGCCGGCGACCGCGCCCAGCCCGTCTCTGCTCGCCCCGCCCCGCCTGTCGCCCTCCTGGGAGTCCCCGGGGTACCGTCGCCGCCTCCCCTGCCTTCTCCTCGTGGGCGCTGCCGCCGGGTCGCGGGCTGGGGGCGGTCGGGCCGCCTCTCCGGGGGCCGCCACGGTGCGGCCCCGCACCCGAGGGCCGCGCGTCTTGCCGAAACCTCCATCAGAACAGGCTTTGGCACTTATGGTCGGAAATGGGGGAAATTTTCACCAATTCGTGTTTGGTGGGGCTGAATTTTGAAAGTTGCGTTGCCTTAGAGCCTCCAAAGCAGCCCTCTTGTTACACCGCGTCCCTGGAAATCATCCCCAAAGTGGATTTGTAGAGCGGGAACAGCGAAAGTGCGAATTGCGTTATCTATTAAGGACTTGGAGTCGGACACATTGCAGGTATGGCCAAACGTCATAAAAGCAAAGATGACAACTACACCATTACTTGTAATTATATACAGAAAAGTGGTCGCCGAGAACGATAAATTCCAGCCTCACGAGACAAAGTGATCTCTCGGCTCTTGAAACCCCATTACAGCTTAGCAGGTTCGTGCCCGAAGGAGGAGTTAAGGAGACCCACGAGGTTAACGTGCACATTATTTCTTCCGGAGAACATATAGCAAGAGGTAGTAACAATGCTACAGGAACCCTTGGGAGAGGCTACTTGAAGTTCCTAAGTACCTGTGAAAAGACAGAACAGCCATTGCAGAAATTTCTCAAGCTTCTTTTGTAGGAAAGTTGTTGCTCCTTATTCTATCTAGATGAAATTTTTTTACTCTGAAAACCTGCTCAAGGATTCTATCAATAAAAACAATCAACTACAGTGCTGGTGATTTATATTTAAGGCCACTTTTTACTACTTAGATTATAACATGCTTATTTTCAGTTACAATTTAGTCTAGGAAAGATACTATTATAACACAAAAAATAAAGTTTTAGTAAGAGTTTTGTAAATATTATGATCTAAGTTACATTTACATACCAAACATCTTCAAATATAATACTAGAAACAGTTCACTGCTCTTAGTGTTATTTATATTCCTAGCTGACCATAAAAAGTCTTGCTAAGACATTCTATAAGGCTAACAGAAAAAAATATTTTGGGCAATGAGAAATCTTAGAATGCATAAACCTCAGCTTTGCAGTGTAATAATATAAAATTAGAATGAGAAATACATTTCCGGACTTTAATGTACAATGCCTTCGTGTTTGATTGTATTTAAAAGTTATCTCGAGAATGTCCTGAACTCCATCGAGGTGGGGGTGGGGCAGTGGCAGGAATCTATTGATCTTTACAGAAACATTTTTCTTTTGAAATCACACAGTACTTTGTATAAGAATTTATTTGGTGGAGATCCACAAATCAATGTTACAAATACCAGAAGGAAAAGTTCAAAAGAAAAAAATTCAGCAAAAGGACTTTTTTTCAAAAATACTAAAGAATTAAAGTGTTAATAGGAAAAAAAAAAGCCTATATTGAAAAGAGACCTAAATCTCATGAACTTAATTTTGTTAAAGGATGTTTGACTTGTATTCATAATTCTAATTCTAGGTGTTCTTGCATAAGAAATCTATGATCTAGCCACTTACTTAGTGATCAAGGAAAGCCAGGATGGGTCAGAAATACTCTGGCTTGCTCTTTTCCCCTTTTTATTTTCTTTTGAAACTTAACGTATCTTTTTTTGTTAATTTCATGGGAAAAAATAATTCAGTGAAATAAAGTTTTAAAAGGAGAAAGTGAATGATTAAGAAATGTTTTAGAATTTTAATAAATGGATTTGGAGATGGATTAGTAATGCCTGACATTTTAGAACTATCACAGATTATGTAGTGCCAATAGGATGACTGAGCTTCTGCAAATACGGATGCAAGAAAGTAATTGTCTTGCATACTGCAGATTAAAAGATAAGGTGCATAAATATGTTAGGTAGAGCATCTGAGTTGAATTAAAAAATTTTCCATTAAATAAGATAACAATAATTTCAGTGAAATTTCTGAATAATTAACAGGCTAGAGAAAAAACATATCTGGAATCTTGACCATAGGGAGAGGTGATTTCTACTTTTATTGCACATATTAATGCTTACAGTGACTGGCTAAATAGAGAGCACCCTTTCACACTCCTATATCCCCACGAGGGAGAAGGACCCTAGCCTTCAGGGTCATGGATACCTCAAATAGCAACAAAATGGAACGCCTGCTTTCATTTTTTATATGAATTGAAATCAGAACACTACCTTGAAAAAATACTATAGGCACTGTTGTATCATAGAATTTTACTTCTTTATAAATTAGTGGTTTCCAAGGAGGTGAATCTAATTTCACACTCCTACCCATGCACTAAATGGGCCAACTAGACTATGGTCAATTCACAATATTGGCATCTTCATCAACATATGGTGAATAAAACCCAATTTTAAAATGTGAAAACTAAATATAATTATAGTTCTCACTCTCATCTCCAACCCCACTTAAAATCAAATCGTGGGTAAATCAGAAGCTTATTATTAACATTTATCTTGGTAGAACCTAAAGAGCCTGTGTTCACATCCACCTTGGCTGTCTGTTAACTGAGTTGTTACCAAAGCTTTTTCTTTTTTTATCAAAATGCCTTTTTTTTTTAAGATTTTATTTATTTATTTGAGAGAGAGAATGAGAGACAGAGAGCATGAGAGGAAGGAGGGTCAGAGGGAGAAGCAGACTCCCTGCCGAGCAGGGAGCCCGATGTGGGACTCGATCCCGGGACCCCAGGATCATGACCTGAGCCGAAGGCAGTTGCTTAACCAACTGAGCCACCCAGGCGCCCCATCAAAATGCTTTTCAACTAGGATTTTCTGGTGGCCCTTCTCACCCCGGGGCACTAGGTCCTACTTCCTGAGGCCTAAGGCATCCACGGTAGGTGATGAATGAACTTCTCTCCTCTGCATCGTATAGTGGCACGAGTTATGCACCAGCCTAGGGGGAATTGAGAAAATGGTCACTCAGATAATTTTCTGTAAGGCTCAAATCTGTTTGAGAAAGGCTGAAACCGTATTTATGGGAAGTGAGCATTTTTCAAGCCGAGGAGATTATCCCAGTTCATTCTGCCGCAAAGCATAATGCTCTAATGAACTAGTCGCACGCGCTAATCTGAGAATGGGAATCCCAGTCTTCTCATCAGGTTGCTAGTGGGTCACTCTTTATGATATAAAACACAAAGTATGTTTTGGAGCGTTGCCCCAGATCATCAGGAAGTTGGTGTTGATTCGCACAGAGGAATGAATCAAATTGGCAAGTGTGTGGTGTTTTGCTGAATAAGGGCTGACAGTACTCAGTGGAAGTTGGAGTGTGAGAAGGACCGGGCTCAGCATTACCACTGTTCATCGGTTTATAAACAAACAGCGACTCAGACACGACAGCAGGGTGTGCAGTACAGAAAATTCTGCCACCTTCCAGCCACACCCGCACAGAGAAAGAGCCTTCCCTGTCAGTGCAGCAGTCTGCGTGGGTGACAGATGGGGCACACGTCCGAAATCAGCACATGCACTTACACAGGAAGTAAAACCCAGATACTTTTATTTATACTTTAGAAAGCAAACAGGCTGCCCACAAAGAATGGTTAGGAAACTCAAAGAGTTTTATTTTGTACTGTTAAAAAAAAAAATGTAGGTCATCGATTCATCTGTATAAATAATTTTTCTGGCAAGAGTAGTTAACTTTTAACCTTCCATTCAAAAACTTCACAACTTCAAGTATTGGAAATGCACTTAAATTTCCCCTGCCTTTATTTTATATAGTACATTCGCATAGCAATTAGCTGACTCATGAGGTCGAAGAGTTTCTTTAAAAGAAGGTTCAAATCTTTACCAGTATGTAATGGGACAAATTAGCATTCTCTTGGTCAGTATTCATTTTAATAGTACTATTTTTCTTTCATTTCTCCTGAAAGAAAGTGGGGGGAAATAGGCATACCTGTACAATTCAGATCAAAGCACAAAATATCATTTAAAAAATAAATACCTAAGGCATACCTGCCACACTTTTATTTCAATTTCCTCAGCTGTTTAAAAATTATCTCGAGTGTCGCTGCATTTCTACCTGCTTTCTTACCAGCAACCTCTGTGGCTCTCGCCTGCGCTGAATCCACCTCTGGAGGGTAGCTGCTCATTGTCACTTGTCATGAAGCATACAGTTTGATATCCTGGGCTTCACAGGCAATTTCAGAAACTCAAATGACACTATATGGACTTGCTCTAAATCTTTTTTTAGTGCAGTTTGGCAAATATCCCAAATGAAATTCAACTCTAAGTTAAAAGTATCAAACAGAGATAGTGCTAAGTGCGTCTGTGACTTTCTGGGCTGCCCAGAGGCTCTGGAGAGCATAGGAATGGAAAGCCTAATTGCCCCGAACTGAAGTGACTGCAGACACCACCTGCTTTTACCACAGGAGAACAGTCACCCACAGAGACAGCAGGAGCCCAAGGCTGGGCAGCAACACCTGCAAAGGTGGCCCAGGTTGCTGGACTCTTGGGTTGTTGTGAATATCTTTAAAGGTCAACAGCCCCTGCACCCACTTTGCCCCTACCTCCCCATCTCAGCAAGCGTGGACCTTCTCCCCACTCTACCTCACAGTGTTAAGAACAGCAAGCATGGACACACAGAAACCTGCTCTCTTCCGCTTGATCGTCCCCTCCTCCACTCCAGTGCTCTCTCACTTCCAGGCTTTCTCTACCTGCAGACTGGAACTGCACTTTGGTTTTGGTTGCTAGAAAAGAGGTTATTATAAAGCTGTCTGGAGAGACCACCGCTAGATGGCCAAGTCACTGGGTCTGGCCCTGCCGCCGCTGGACTTACTGGCCTTGCTTGATCGGCCCGGCTCTGCCGGGAGCAAAGGAGGCGCGTGCATCTCCACCGCGGTGGTCACTGCCTGCTCCCCGTCGTCGGGAGTCACTGCCAGTTTGCTCTCTCCCAAGCTGCTGCCGTGCCCGTTCAGCGACAGGCCGGGCGCGCTGCTTCCCGCGCCACCGTTCTCAGGGAGCTGCTGGGCGCTGCCTGTAGGGCTCAGGGTCGCAGAAGCCGACGCTGGAGGGGAGGCCTTCCTCGCAGAAGTCTGCTGCTCGGCCTCCTGGTTGGCCCAGTTCTGTTCTGTCACTAGCAGGTGGTGGTTGCCGTTGTAGAATTTGGCGGGGTGGTCCTTCCCCGGTGCCTCGTTCAGGGCTGCCAGGTTGAAGTCTGTTGCTGGTGGAGGGGCTCCGGGGTAGCCCGCGGCCGTGGCCTTTGCCAGGGAAGAGGCAGAGTGAGTGTAGTAAGGCGGGAATCCGATGGTAACCGTGGGCGGGGCAGAGTGGGAGGGGAGGAGGAGTGGGCTCACACCCCCTGGGTTTGTGGCCCCCACCCTGGATTCAGGGGAGTCTGAGCGGTAGTGGTTGGTCATTCCTTGTTTAAGCTTCTTCCAGCCCAGGTGGTAGATCTCCAGCATGTTGAGTAAGAGGGACACGCAGGCCACGGCCAGCATGAAGATGATGAATATGGTCTTCTCTGTGGGCCTGGAGATGAAGCAGTCCACCGTGTTGGGGCAGGGCCACCGGTCACAGCGGTACAGCGGCTTCAGCTCAAAGCCGTACAGAAAGTACTGCCCGGCGATGAAGCCCACTTCAAACAGCGTCTTAAAGATGATGTTGAACACGTAGGTCCGGAGCAGGGCCCCGGCGATTCGGATCTTGCCCCGGTCATCCCGCACCGGCGGCCTGTCCTTCTGGCTGTGGCCGCCCGGCCCACAGCGTGCAGCCGGCCCGTGGTGCGGGCTGTCGCCCTTCAGCAGCTCTTCCTCCCGCTCTTTCTTCTTCTCTTCCATGCGCACGATGTGCAGCACATGGCCCAGGTAGATGAGGGTGGGCGTGGACACAAAGATGATCTGCAGCACCCAGAAGCGGATGTGGGAGATGGGGAAGGCTTTGTCGTAGCAGACGTTCTCGCAGCCGGGCTGCTGCGTGTTACACGTGAAGTCTGACTGCTCGTCCCCCCACACCTCCTCGGCTGCGGCGCCCAGCACCAGGATCCTGAAGATGAACAGGACCGTCAGCCAAACCTTGCCAATGACCGTGGAGTGCTCCTGTGCGTTCTCTAATAGTCTCCCCAGAAAGCTCCAGTCGCCCATTGCTTCAGATTGCTAACCTGCAAGGGAACATTGCTGGTTAATAGGAAGCTTATGGCGAGCTGTCCAGTCCAAGCACCCCGAGGGGCAGGCCTTGGCGGGTGGCGCTGGAATAATCTTCCCCGGGGGAGCTGTAGCCCCACTTCCATACGAGGGAGGCGCTGCGGAGCTCTCCACAGCACGAGTGTGCGTGTGCAGGGGTGTGTGTGCGTGAGCGCGCGCGTCTCCACCATGGCGCTGAGCAGGGTTAGCTAAACGCCCGCAGCGCCAGCGTGACACGGAGCTCCTGTTACACTAACGAGCGCTGGCGCCGAGGAGATGCCCACGGGCGACTGAAGCCCTCGCTTCAGAGATGAGGAACCTGGAGCTCCAAAGAGAAATGACTTGCCTGAGGGGAATGTGACTCTCCCCTGGCTTCTAACTCCCCATCCTGTCCTCTTCCAGGGCCCAGTCTCCCAGGAGCTCTGGTGCTGCGGGGTACACAGCTTGGCTCCACTCCTAACCTCCACCTTTCGGTTCCTGTGAGGTTACGGTAACTTTCCTGCATAACTTCTGCCACATACTAACCTACTACCTCTTCTAGTACTTACTTTCTTTTTTCACTTGGCAAATATTCCGTCATGGTTAACTCACTGCACGTCCCCAGGCAGGAGCCCATGTCCCCATCTGTAAGATGGGACGATGGTCATTGGGTCATGTGCCGTGAGCTGCTTCCTAGACGGAGGGAGGGCCTGCAGGCCTCCTCTGTGAAGGTGGCAATGTTCCTCAGACGCAGGGGACCAAGGTTACAAGGCGTCCTCCCTGTTGCTACTGCTCAAACAGGCCAGATGCTTCCAACTAGAACCAAAAGAACTCTGTTCTTTGGTCATTCTTCGCTAAGGAGAGCGGCCCAAGCTGTAAGTGTATGTACGAGTTCCAGCAGCCTTAAAGAACACTCTTCTCATTTTGAATGTTAAAATGTTTAAAAATATTAACTTTTATGAATGGGTTCAAAGGCAAATAAAACAAAACTTTACTCACCATGATCTAAAGAAATAGACAAACGTTAACCCTCTCCTAGAATAAACTTTCAAGCCTTGGTTGTGGTCATTTGAGGTCTTTAGAAAAATATTACCAGTCACATATCCTACCAGCCTCCTTGTCCCATACTGTGACTGGCAGCTATTCTATTTGGCATGTTCTTAGAAGGTAAAATATTTTAATTCAGAAACTTAATTACTGAAGGTGAAACAACCCACTCTTCCGTGAAGGATGGCAGGTGTCAGGGGACCCTTCTAGGTTACATCCTGCTTCTCCTCAACCCCAGACCGTCACAGCGTTTTGAATGGCATCTCTGCCCATAGCCCCAGCCCCTCCCTTCAGTCTGCTGGAGATTTTCCTCTGGGGCACAGGACAAAAGCCTCGCATAGTGTGGACCTCCCATCAGTCCCTGATCCAACACTGCTGATGCCAAACTTCCCGTGGCCAATGGGACCCTGCCGTTACGCCCTTGCACGTGCTAGTTCTTCAACTTCAAACTTGGCCCCAATCCAGGGACTGGCCTATTGACCTGTCACTTACCTCCACTCTCCCCTCAAGAGTGGCCAACTCAGGCTAACATGGGGGCCCTGTGTTTTCTCTTCCCACTTATCACGGCCCTGGCTTAATGGCCATTCCTTCCTTTACGTTCCAGGAGGTATTTCCCACCCTCCCACCCCTCCTACCTTGCTAAGCTACAAACGGCATCGTCTCTCCTTGCTCTCCCCAGACAAGCACAGTCTTCTGAGTTTCTACAGAAAACCACCTTTAACCACCTTGGCTGCTTGTGGACTTTCTCCTTTACTCTAGTTTTGAGGTTGGGGTTTGCATGTGTAGCCTTTCCTCCTTGATGTCTGCAGGCAGAACAGTTGGGCAATGTGCATTTCTGGAAGTCTCGAAGAAAAGACCAGTGTGGGGGAATTTAATACTTCTTCCTGCTACCTTCCCAGCCTTGTTGAATACAGCACAGCGTGCTGAAAAGGAGTCAATGCAATGTGCCTGGTAGATTCTCCCCACAAGGCTGGTGGCACATGACACCATGAGGGAGGGTCTGCTTGTCACAGAGCCTGAGAAAGTGTTGCTGGCATTTCCCTGCAGGGCCAGGGAGGCAAAATGCTCCACAGTGATGGGAGTGTCCCACACAGTAAAGAACTGGCCCGCCCCCAAAGCCCATTCTGCACCTATTGAGAAACACGGGGCTAGGTAAATATTTATTCAACTAGTAAATCAGACGAGGAGGGTAGGGCAGGTGCCTGTAGCATCTTGTTACTCTTCTTCGCTGGCTCAGCCTCTCCAGAGTTCTTTAGGTCCAGGTGCTGCAAAACACTTTCAGATAGGCACCCTTATAATCCCATCATGACCTCTGATTGCAACCTACAGAATCATGATGTGTCACTGTCCACGTACTTAGCTGGTACTCTGGCAGTTGCCAAGGCTCAGGAAGTCCTAAAGATGGGACGACTAACAATGTGTCCTAAAGGGGGGACACCCATGGCTCATGCACTCTGTGGTGGCACACACTGGCAAGACCATTCTGGAAAGGAGTTTAGTCAGATGTATGAAGCGATATAAAAGCCATGCTACCTCTAACCTGTAATTCTACTCCTGGGACATCATACCTGGGAAATAATCAGAGATTCTGATGAATGGATGAACATGGATATATACTGTGAATTACTTATAAGAAGGAATAATTGGAAACAGAAGTGTCCACTAAAGGACGACCAGTTAAATCAGGACCTTAACCCAGATCCTATTCCCGGTCTTCCTCTCCCTAGCCTGCCTCTAATGTGACCAGGAAGGGAAATTCTTGCTTTCCTACCTCCTTTTGTTGTATCCAATGAGGTGTAAGAAGTTGGCTGGGGAACTTCTGGGAAAGCTTTGGTTTCCTAATAAAAGGGCAGATGCTACCTCTGCTGTCCCTTCCCCTTCCCATAGTGAATGCAGATGTGATGCCTGGAGCTGGGCAGTCCCCTTGCAAGCATGTGTCAATAAGTGTGAGGGAATGGTCGAGAAAGTCCAAGGCACCTGTTGTGACACTGTGGACCTACCTGCTGGATCAACCCCAACAGCAATCTCCTGACTTAATGTGAAGGAAAAAACTCTATTTGTTCAAGTTAGGTTTACTATGGCCTACAGACAAAAGAATTCCTAACTGATACATTCTCTTTAATTCTGTATAGAATAAGGCCAGGCATAAATGAAAAGCTATGGTTCATTCTTAACTACTGAAATACAAGGTATTCACTAGATATAATTTTTAAGATCATCAATGAATTGAAGAGATATTCATGCTGTAATGATAAATGACAAAAGCCTAATACAAAACTCTGGTCTGATATCAAATATTTTACACACATTCATACATGCAAAAGGAAGGGCAAGAATGATACCGAAATGTTAACCATAGTGTTTCTTGAACTGGGTGATTTTCATTGTCTTTTCATATTTCTTTGCATTTTCTGTAACAACATCACATTTATCATCATAAAGGATTAATGGTCATGACTTTCATGTTTCAAAGTTCTAGTTTTTGAAAAAGTCTGATTCCTTTCTCATTGTTCTTTCATTATGGTTTCTACTCCGTAGATCTCTTTAATCATGCCCCTGATAAGCACACAAAAGACAAATACAATACATACGACGTTATTAGCACAGTGTTAGAGGAGATTGATCCTGGGATCTCTCAGATGCAACACGAACCCTGACAATGGTTATCATTGATGACACAGAGTGTAAATTGGATTCTCCTGCCATGGCAGTCTGCCAGTTTCGCCCAAAGCGAGGGCCAGGCTATTTGTATCCCGTCACTCACTGCTGAGTCCTACTACTACTACACTTCACACTTTGGGTTTATTTTTTTTTAAAGATTTTATTTTTTTGTTTGATAGAGAGAAAGAGAGAGAGAGCACAAGCAGGGGGAGCGGCAGGCAGTGGGAGAGGGAGAAGCAGGCTTCCCGCTGAGCAGGGAGCCCGATGCGGGGCTCGATCCCAGGACCCTGGGCTCATGACCTGAGCCAGAGGCAGACACTTAACTGACTGAGCCACCCAGGCGCCCCACAGTTTGGGTTTTGTTTTGGAAAATGCATGCATGAATGAATAAAACAATTAACCAGAAGACCGAATATCTATGGGAGGGCTGGCAGTATGGGTCAAGGTCAGCTCAAAATGGGAGCCTCCAAAGTAGAAGCGACATCCACCTCTCTTCATAGCCATCAGAGTCTGCTCCAGACACCATGCAGGCGGTCTTAAGGTGTTTTATCAAGATCACTTTTTAATCATATCCCTAAGACCAATTCAGTGAGAAAATGACAGCAGAGGAGTGAAGCACACCCAGAGCAGCAAAGCTCTGCTGGCTAAGTACAAACAATGGGCCACACAGGGGACCCCGTGACCCACTGTGGGCTGACATCAAGTGAGACAAACATGGTGACTGAGTGAAATATCCTTCTGCTTGAAAGAGGAAAATGGGTTTATTCCTATCGTCAACGTACGGGGCCATTTCAGGACAAAACTAGAGCAGCTCCTGAAAGCTCACACTGTGAGTGCTTCACTTTGTAAGGTGCGTGTGATCTCATTATAGAGCACCACAGCTACAAGACTGCGCACTTTTTAGCTAACTCATCTACCGCGGCACCCGTGGGATTCTCTATCACTTGGATGCCGACGTGAATGATCTCCATGAGATGGCATTTAACTGGTTTTTACTTTGATCTCAATGAAAACTTTGATTCTGACATTACTGCAGCACAAGATCTTATGTTGCATAGTTTACATGGCTGCTTCCATGTTCTTCTGACAGTTATACTTTCCCTTTCAAAGTTACACAGTTTCCCCTTGGCCTTCAGGATATGTTGAGTGTCCCTTCAGATCCATCAATGGCTATTTAGTCAGTGACAGTCTTGTGCTCAACTCTGGGCCGCACCTTCTGTTGAATACAGTGGAAGTAAAAACATGGTCTCTATCTTGAAATCTATTTGTGGAGATGGGAAAATTCAGGAAA